TGATTTGTCCAAGATTTCCAGGGGCTTTCCATGGCCAAGTGGGGATTTGGATCCTGGTTTCCAGAGTCATAGTCCAGTGCTCAAACCACTAAACCACATAATAATTCTTTTCAGCTCGGAGAACTTGTGTAGAGTTTAAAATCATAGTTGGAAGGTACACCAAGAGCCAGCTCATCCAAACTCCCTGCTGGTGCAAGAGTCCACAGTTAAAGCATCTCTAACATGCAATTGTCTAGCTGTTTCAAAAATCTTCCTCCTGATGGTTATTCAGAATCTCGTATCTTGTCATTTTAATCCACTGAGTCCTTTTGTCTGGAGCAATTGGGGGAGTGGAGCAGGGATGGATCTCAATATATCTTCCACGTGATAGTCATATTTGAAGACAGCTGCCAGTCTTCTCTTCTTTGGAACAGATATTCCAAACTGCCTCAAGCATTCTTTGTTGGGATTTGTTTCCAGACCCTTTACTAGCTTGATTATCCTCTAGGAGCCATTCCAACTTGCCAATATCTTTCCTATATGAACTAATTCAAGTTGTTCCATCAACCTTTCAATTGCTTAAAAGTCCAGTATTAACAAATAGGGATCACAAAGAAATCTTGTAATTGGGAATGCTCCTGTATAAGGTTCAAGTCTGTACCATTTCCTTGGATATCCCATTAATTCCCCCTCCCCCTGGTTTTCTATATCAACCCCCCATGCCGGATACTAACATGTATGTGGTAAAGCTCAGTCCTCAATTTTTTTCTCTAAAAGCTTTTTTTTTTTTGGAAGGAGAGACAGGAAAAAGGTGGATCCCTAAATCCTGACATATTTTCAACACCTGATACCTTCTTATTGTCTGTGGATAGAATCACAGAATCATTGACTTGGAAGAGACCTTGTGGGCCATCCAGTCCAACCCCCTGCCAAGAAACAGGAAAATCACATTGTTTTAGCCAGTTAAACATCAGCAAATAAGGTTTCTAGTAATATACAGGAAATATCCATGTAACACAAAAGCACACCAAAAAGGTGTAATTCTGTACCCACTGAACTGAAAGGAAACTCCAAGGGATTCAATTCCAAACAAATGTTTAAACAATTATACAATAAATAAATAAAGGGATTCATGCTTCATATATCCACTGAAGACGCTGCAACTTTTTTGTAGAATTTCAGGGCACCACTTGCTTTTAACTCATTAACCACTTTTGGCCTATATTTTTTCTTAATAGTTTGCTATAAAAGAAACATAAAGCCTTTAAGTAAGATCACACAGACTTCAGATCTGTCCCTTTGTTTCTAACAGAGTCTTATAAATTTAATGTATTTTTAACATTTTATTTCCCCCTCTTCTGAGGGTCTTTTGCATTCAATTAGGCCTTTAAAATGTATTTAAATATTACCCTTGGCCCAAGATATGGAAGCCTTCCAGTTGGCTTAAGAAGTTCGACTGACTTAAATGAACCCATTGTGTATGTAAAAATACACAGCACTTGTATGTTTGTATTAAATTGTATTTAAACAATGAAGAGCCATTTAAAAACAGTACACTTGAAAACATGCACAGCACTCCATTAAAATATATTTAAAAACATCAAGGTCTCAATAGCCTTTTGGAATTAAAGAAGACCTTTGCTGCCAACAAAAGGAGAGTTAAAAACAGGAACCATTTTAAACTTCTTAGGAAACAAGTTCTGGAGCCTAAGAGCAGCCACTGAAAAGGCATATCTACATTGACCATTTAATCTGGTTTGGAACCTGTTTGTTTGAAACTGTTTTCACTGTGCGCGTGAATAGTTCGACATATCTGAAACGGATTTGAAGCTAGGAAGGTGTTTACACATCCATGGAAGCTGCCATGATTGAACCATTCCAGAATCTGCAGTATCCGCTGCTTGATAGGTACCAATTTCTTTCAGGCTCTGACTTAGCTCTATATACCTAATGGGGAAAATATAATAAATAATCTCTCCTCATACGGCTTGTTCTCCAGACCCTTGATGATTTTAGTCGCCCTCCTCTGGACACATTCCTTAAATTGCCAAGAATTGGACACAGTATTCCAGGTGTGGTCCGACTAAGGCAGAGTAGAGGGGTAGCATGACTTCCCTGGATCTAGATGCTATACTCCTATTTATGCAGGCCAAAATCCCATTGGCTTTTTTAGCTGCTATATCACATTGTTGGCTCATGTTCACCTTCCTGTTCACAAGGACTCCTTTTTCACATGTACTGCTATCAAGACAGGCTATCCCCCATTCTGTTTCTTTGCATTTCATTTTTTCTACCTGTGGAGTATCTTGCATTTGTCCCTGTTGAACTTCATTTTTCAGATTGTTTTGAGTTCTGCGCCTGTCTTCTGGAGTATTCCTCCCAATTTGGTGTTGTGTGCAAACTTGATGATCATGCAATTTATCATGTAGCCCAACCCCTGCCATGCTGGAATACTTACTAGGGTTATTTCCTGATGAACTGTGGAAGCTTATTGCTTCTGGCAGAATCTGCTTAATCTGAACTTTACATGAACTATCCAAAGTGCTGAATCCAATCACCAAAACATATCTGACAACTTGGAGAGGTCTTTTAAAGTTCAGACTAAAACCCACCAGGTACCACTTAAGATGTGGACTTCAGCTACTCACATTTGTACAGAGAGATCTATGCAATATAACCATTTATAGTTTCCTATGTCTTCTCAGTGCTGCTGCCATAATTCTGACAAATTCAAAGCAGTAATAAAACCCACAATTGATATACTAATAACATTTTGTTTTGCACCAGAACTGCACTGCTAATACATAACAGACAAATAAAGATAGGCATGATTTGTATTCTTGTGTTTTTGCAGCAAATGCATGTTTTAATAGGTTGCTATGAGTTTTCTGGACTGTATGACCATGTTCCAGAAGCATTCTCTTCTGACGTTTCACCCACATCTATGACAGACACTCTCAGAAGTTGTGTGGTATGTTGGAAACTAGGCAAGTGGGGTTTATATATCTGTGGAATGTCCAGGGTGAGAGAAAGAACTCTTGTCTGTTTGAGGCAGGTGTGAATGTTTCAATTGGCCACCTTGATTTTTATTGATTTTGATTGATTTTTATTGATTTTTTGATTGATTTTTATTGATTTTTTATTGGAATAATGCATGATGATGTTAGTAATTGTGAATTTTACTGTAAGTTGTGATGATTGTTGTGTTGCCGGCATCGAATCGTGCCTTACTGTGTAAGCCGCCCTGGGTCCCCTTCGGGGTGAGAAGGGCGGGGTAAAAGAACCCCAAATAAATAAAATAAATAAATTGATTAGCATTTAATGGCCGTGTAGCTTCAAAGCCTGGTTGATTGCTACCTGGATCCTTTATCAGGAGGTGTTAGCTGGCCCTGATAGATTCTTGTCTGGAATTCCCCTGTTTTTTTTTTAGTGTTGCTCTTTATTTACTGTCCTGATTTTAGAATTTTTAAAATACAGGGTTAGTCAAAATGAATAGGCCAATAAGAAAATTAATTTTAGACGAATGTATGTTTACTGTAACCAAACCACAGCTACGTAGCGACAGATAAACTATCAAAGTTTTTTTGAGCAACACACATGTACGTTAATGCCGCTAGGCGTCGCTAGGGGTCGCTGTTTTCAAAATGGCGGAATCAAGCAAAGAGAAGGCGTTTTGTGTGATGACATTTGCTAAAACAATGTCAGTAATTACGGTCCAGCGAGAATTTCAAGGGTTAGGGTTAGGGTTAGGGTTAGGGTTAGGGTTAGGGTTAGGGGTAGGGTTAGGGTTAGGGATAGGGTTAGGGTTAGGGATAGGGTTAGGGTTAGGGTTAGGACCTCAACGAACACCTTCCCAGACGTTGCTGCATTCGATGCCATTACGTCGGATGTGCTGCAACGGATGTGGAATGAACTGGACTATCGCTTGGACATCTGCCGTGTCACACGGGGCGCCCATATCGAACATCTCTGAAGGTGAGACAAAACTTTGATAGTTTATCTGTCGCTACGTAGCTGTAGTTTGGTTACAATAAACATACATTCGTCTAAAATTAATTTTCTTCCTGATTTTTTAAATACTGGTAGCCAAATTTTGTTCATTTTCATGGTTTCCTCCTTTCTGTTGAAATTGTCCACATCCTTGTGGATTTGAAAGGTCTTTTCTGTGTAGCCTGACATGGTGATTGTTAGAATGGCCCAGCATTCTGTGTTCTTAAATAATATGCTGGTTTATCAGGTGCTCTGCTATGGCTGACTTCTCAGTTGAATTAGTCGGCAGTGCCTCTCATGTTCCTTGATTTGTGTCTGGACAATGCTGCATTTGGTGGTCCCTGGCAACCCAATGATCCTGGCCATGAAACCCTTTGACAACACATGTGTTATTATTTTAAGTCCAAAAATTACCAGTTTTTCTCATACCATGCTGTCAACATTCTGCTGAGTTAAATTCAGTGAGACAGAAAAAGGAATGCAAGTATTAACAAAGCTGGTGAGGTGAAATGATGGAGCTTTCTAGAACCAAGGCTGAGTTCCTGGAACAGGCATGGGCAAACTTGGGCCTTCCAGGGGTTTTGGACTTTAACTCCCACCATTCCTAACAGCTTCGGGCCCTTTGCTTTTCCACCTCAGCCACTTAAGTGTGGAATGGCCACTTAAGCGGCTGAGTGGGGAAAGGAAGGGGCCTGAGGCTGTTAGGAATGGTGGGACTTGGAGTCCAAAACCCCTGGAGGGCCCAAGTTTGCTCATGTCTTTGCTAGAAAGGAAGGGGCGAAGAGAGATGCGGGGGCGCCTCCAATCTGGCGGGAAAGGTCTCCTTTGCCTTGCACACCTGTTGAGGTGAGGCAGTCTCCCGAAGCCCTGCTTCTCCTCCTCGCCTTCCCTGGGAAGCCTCTTCCGAGGGGAGGCCTTGAAGGGCCCCCTGTGTCTGTGTGTGTCCTCAATGCAATGCAAGGGAGGGGGAGCTGAGCCGCGCAGCAGCGCCCTTCCCTGCCTTTCCCTGGGGCTGCCCCCTCCTTTCCCGGGGAGGATGCGGGGAAGGCGGGCGGACGGACAGAGCATCCCTCGCCCGCTCCCTCCGCGTCCCGCCCCTTCTCCTTTCCCTCCTTCAGCCCTTGGGGACTCCACTGGGGAGAGTCGAGTAGCCTGGCCTATTGGTCTTGCTGGGAAGGGTCCAGGCGAGGCGGGGCCCGAGGGTAGACCCCCCTCCTTTCCCGCATCTCTTCGGGTTTCCCCGCCACTTGTTGTCCCAAAAGCCGGGCGATGGGCTCCGAGGCCGGCTCGGGCCGCCTGGCTCTGGTGGCGGCGTTGGCGTTGGCGGTGGCGGTGGTGTGCCTGAGCGGGGTCGCGAGGGCGGGTTGCGCCGAGGAAGGGCTCTGCTGCCCCGGCCGGGATGCCAGCTGCACCAGCGCCGGGTGGCGCCTCGACCGCGCCTATGGCACCTGCTACTGCGACCAGGAGTGCCGCCGCACCGGGGACTGCTGCTACGACTACGAGAGGGACTGCCCAGGTAGGAGAAGGGCAAGAAGAGGGAGGGAGAAAGAGGGGAAGGAAGAGGGAAGGAGAGGAAGAAGGAGAGGGAAGGAGCGAAGCTGAGGGAGAAAGAGAGGGAGAGGGAAAAGGGGAGAAGGAGAGGGAAGAGAAGAAGAGAGAGGAAGAAAGAGAGAGAAGGAGGGAAGAAGGGGGAGGAAGGGGAGGAGAGAAGGAGAGGGAAGGTGGGAAGGTGAGGGAGAAAGTGAGGGAGAGAGGGGGMGAGGGTGAGAGAAGGAGGGGAAAGAGGGAGGGAGAAGGAGAGAGGGGAGGAGAGGAATGGAGAGAAGTAGGAAGGAGAGGGAGAAGGAGAGGAAGAGAGAGGAAGGAGGGAAGGTGAGGGAGAGAGGAGGGTGAGAGAGGAGAGAAAGAAAGGGAGAGGGAGGAGAGGAAGAGAGAGGAAGAAGGAGAGGGAAGGTGGGAAGGTGAGGGAGAAAGAGAGGGAGAGAGGGGGGAGAAAGAAAAGGGGGAGGGAGAAAGGGGTGGAGAGAAGGAGAGGGAGGGGAGGGAAGAAGAGAGAGAAAGAAAGAGAGGGAAGGTGGGCAGGTGAGGGAGAAAGAAAGGGAGAGAAGGCAGGAAGAAGAGGGAGAAAGAGGAGGAGAGAAGGAGAGAAAGAGGAAGGAGTGGGAAGGAGGGAAGGTGAGGGAGAAAGAATAGGGGGCAGAGAGAAGAGAAAGAAAAGGCGAGAGAAGGGGAGAAAGGGGAAGAGAGGAAGGAGAGGAAGAGAGAGGAAGAAGGAGAGGGACGGTAAGAAGGTGCGGGAGAAAGAGAGGGAGAGAGAGGGTGAGGGAGAGAAGGAGGGGAGAGAGGGAGGGAGAAAGAAAGGGAGAGAAGGAGGGAAGAAGGGGGAAAGGGGAAGGAGAGGGAGGAGAGAAAGAGGGAGGATGGAGAGGGAAGGAGGGAAGGTGAATGAGATAGAGGGGGAGGGAGAGGGAAGGGGAAGGGGAGGGAGAAAGGGGAGGAGAGAAGGAGGGGGGGAAGAATTTAAGAAAAAGAGAGAATTAGACAGGGAGAGAGAGAGAGACGGGAAGGCAAGAGCGAGGGGTGTATCTACATCGTAGAATTACTGCACTTCGACACCACTTCAATTGCCATGGGTCACTGCTATGGAACCTGGGATTTGTAATTTGAACAGTCAACTTATTGGCAGAAAAAGCTAAAGACCTTGTAAAACTACAAGTACCGTGATCCCATAGCATGGAGCAGTGTGGTGCCAAACTACATTCATTTAACATTGCAGATGCATCCAGAGACAGAGAGAGGTGAAGACTGCTGGCCCTTGGAGGAAAGGGGTTCAAATGGCCAACAGGATTGGCTCCTGAAACTCAGGCAGAGCAGCTTTGTCAACCATGATTTGGGGGGCGGGGGCATGATACGCCCAGAGAGAAAGCCAAGTACATTGCGCATCTCTGATCCAAAATGCTTAGCACCAGAAGTGACATATCTTGCAGATGGGAACCAAGTCTAAACACAACATCAATTTATGTTTCATAGACACATTATACACACACAGCCTCACATTTTGTTTTTGCCATACAGGTTGAGCATCCCTGATGCGGAAGCTTGGGACGTGAAGTGTTTGGGATTTCAGTCCCATCCCACCCCAGATTTTGATATAGCTGCATATACATAAAGGACCCAAGTCTAAACACAAAATTCATTTCTGTTGCATATACACATAGTCTAAAGGTCATTCTGTACACACTGTTTAAATAATATGCAAAATTTGTGCACCCTGAAACATGAGAAAGCATAGATATCACTTTCTCAGTCGTCCATGCGGACAGCCTTGGATTTTGGAGGACTTTGGCTTTCCAGATAAGAGATACTCAACCTGGAATGTGCTGCTTGGGACTGTAGTGGAATCTTCTTTACTGGAGGTTTGTAAACAGAAGCTAGATGGCTATCTGTTAGGGGTGCTTTGATTGTGTGTTCCTGCATGGCAGAATGGAGTTGGACTGGATAGCACTTGGGTTCTCTTCCAACTTTATGATTCTATGATCTGTGAACTTGTCTTTGCTTTTATGACAGCTTACACAGTCCAGGACTGAGTTTTGCCAGTTAGCAATTTGTGTGTGTGTGTGTGTAGTAGGATGTTGGTGAGGGTGCAGCAGATATTATTAACTGCGTTCTTCTGGAGTCAACTCCTCATAAACTGCAATTTGGTATAAATGCCAAACAGATACTCCCTGTCAACTTCTCTGCTACTAAAATCAAAGTCCAGCGTTTGGTTCCTTGCCATCCTTTGCTTTTACCATCTCTTGGTTCCCTCCTGGTCCCCAGGGACTCAGTATGAGAAACATTATATAAGCCGTACGAAAAAACTCACTTTCCTAGTTTTGCTTTTATATGGGAAATCCAACTGAGAAAAAGAATGTAAGGAAGTGACTCAGGGAGTTGTTTATTTCTAGGCTTTGAAACTTAAAAGATCAGGATATTGAATTCCTTTGCAAATTGTTGAGAGGTTGAGTGCAAGAACCTTTTTCTGGATTTGTGTTATGCAAAAAACATTCTTTATCAATGTTTGCTTTCTTTTTTTTATGGTTAGAGAATAAGGTAGAAGTCGGCTTCAATTATTAGGGAAGCGGTAGGGAGATCACAAGGAAATCTAAAAGTCTCACACCATGACACACCTTCAGGTTTATTGAAGTCGGAGACATTTTCAGTTTATTTATTTATGTACTGCACTTGTATTCCACCCTTCTTGTCCCCAAAGGGGACTCGGGGCAGCCTTTCAAAGGCTGCAATTAGATGCCATGTGTACACATATCATCTATCAATAAACAATAACATTAAAACCTTAAAACCAACCAGTTAAAACATCACATTAAAACAACAATTTATAATCACATAATCCAGGTCCATTCAAAGTCATCAATGTTAATTTGTAATCTCTCATTGCACTGTTCCCATTACTGACCAAAGGCCTGATCCCAAAGCCATGTTTTAGTTTTTTTTCTGAAGGCCAGGAGGAAGGGGCCCCGATCTAATTTCAATGGGGAGGGAGTTCCATAAATGAGGAGCCACCATTGAGAATGCCCTGTCTCTTGTCCCCATCAGTCGCGCTTGTGATGGGGGTGGGACCAAGAGTAGGGCTTCCCCCGATGATCTTAGCCTCCGAGGTGGATCATGGAGGAAGATACATTTGGACAGGTAAGCTGGGCCAGAACTATTTAGGGCAGGCATCCTCAAACTGCGGCCCTCCAGCTGTTTGGGCCTCCATCTCCCAGAAGCCCTAACAAGCTTGTTCAATTGTCATGAATTCTGGGAGTTGAAGGCCAAAACAGCTGGAGGGCCACAGTTTGAGAATGCCTGGTTTAGGGCTTTATAGGCTAAAGCCTATAATTGTGCTTGATAGCAGACTGGCAGCCAGTGGAGCTCATGTAACAGGGGAGTTGTATGCTCCCTGTACGCTGCTCCAGTGAGCAACCTGGCAGCTGCCTGCTGGACCATTTGAAGCTTCTAAACAGTCTTCAAAGGCAACTCCATGTAGAGTGAATTGCAGTAATCTATTCTCAGTGTAACAAGAGCATGGACCACCATGGCCAGTAAATTGGTCAATGCAAGAGCTCTACTTCCCAGTAATACAAGGACTTCTGTGACATACTTTTCAGTAAATATTAGAATCTGGCCCTGACCTATTTTAGGGCTTTCATGTTACACAAACACATACACAGATCCTTGTAGTACAAAGCCAAGATTTTTTATTTAATGCAAGCATTTGTGGGTTATGTACTGCTCCACTTCAGATGCCAGTCTGTATGACTTTTCATGGACTGTAGAGTTACAGTCCATGAAACCTTATTTGAATTGCCACTAATTTTGTTGTGATCCTTGCAACAGGCTAAAATACTTACCCCTTTGCAAATGTTCGATGTAGCAGCAGGAGCCCAACTCTGAAAGCCAGAGGGCTGTGCCTTCCCATTAATCAGAACCCCCTTTTTGGAGATTGCATACATTTTTATTCCTTTTTTGAAAGTTTTTTAGCCCAGTTAGTTAAAAAGAAGCAGGTGTCAGAGGGTGGCTATCAAATTTGAACCCTGAAAGCCCGCAGCCTGAAAAGACAAATAGAAAGACCACTTATTTCTGTGTAAAGCAACCTTCATTTCTGACTTCCCCCTTGTGATGTGTAAGCTTAACTCATTTGCTTGAATCGCTTGGAGCTGTCTGCTCTGCAGGCATCTTGGACGGGTGCGCTGAGTTTCTTTCTGCTCTGTTTAATGCATTGTGGGGTGGATTATGTGGATTAATTTGTGGAGGATGGAGGGAGGCTGCAGTGGGAAAAGTCCTGCCTCAGGATGGAGAGATGGTTTCGATGATCGGCTGCTCATGGAATCATACAAACAAGAAATGTTTTATATCAGAAAGGGCATTCAAAAAGCATATTCCAAGGCAAAGATGGGATTTGTAGCCCTACGCTTACTTCACAATGCTAATGCAGGGGCATTTGCAAATGAGAATAGTTTAACTGGAGATGATGCTTAATGCTCTGATTCACAAGTCCTTCTTCCCAAACTCTTCTTCAAGACCTTTTAATTAGTTATCCTATTCCATCCCTGAAACTGGAAAGGATAGTGTGACTCAAGTATAAGACAAGAGAAACAGCTATAGGGTGATGGAGTGATGGGTAATTCCTTTATTCTTTTGACTTTCACCTTGCCACAAAGAAATAAAGAAAAGAAACCTTTGTGTTGTATCCCTAGTTTGTTGCAATTTTTGTAAAAACAAAACAAAACAACCAAACAAAAACAAAACCCTGCATATTTTTTCCTAACACATCTCCAGAAATATTTTAGTCACTTGGGAGATTGGGGAGCTATAGTTCTAAAAAGTTCTATTTCATGTTCTGATTTTTTTTATTTATGGTGTCAGAAGCAGTACAGTTATAGTGTATTTAAAAAGACTCAAACAAAGTTTAAAACTTGGCATTATGCTAGATTTCCTTTTACCAGAAACTGGCCACTTGGAGTGCCTTTGGTG